AAACTCATTGAAACCCGCTTACATAGTCCCAATAGGTGGACTTAACTGGGCTCTGTGAGTAAAGGGCATCTTGCCAATACTTTACAATTGGGCCACATTGTCCAGGGCAGTCAGTAGGGGGAGAAACTGCGATCCGCAAAACATTTTGTGTGGACAAACGTGCAAGGACTTCTAATTGTTTCTTCCACGCCTTATGCGGCTGCGGTCCTCCGGTGGGAAGCTAATGGCAATAGTAGTAGTATTAGCAGCAGCAGCAGTCCAATGGAGCTAGTAACCAAACAGTCTTATTGCCTTTGGGGAGTCTAGATTCTGCTTTTGGCTAGTGGCCGTGCTAACGCAACTGGGCTGGGCGTTATTCTTGCAAAGTGCAGCTCTCCTTGTCATCAAGTTCCTCAGCTCCAGTATTTATATTAGAAGTGGAATGCGTCCATGAGGGCCACGACAGTTTTAAAATATAAGGCGGGGAGTCCCTGCCATCCCGATTTGTTTATTTGTGGAAGGGTGAGCTATTCTGCTCTTCTGGTCGTTTTATCTACTCAATATATAGAACATGTTTTGCAGGCAAAATGAACTACTAAATGAACCGTGCGCGCGCGCACACACACACTGAGGGAACCACAAAGAAAAGCGCACATTAGACAGGTAAGAGCTGCATCGCAGATGCAAGTCTCCTGGATAACTCTGCAACTTTGTTCAGGCCCTCCTCGTTCTGTTTCCTCCGCCTTCTGGTCATGTGTACAGCTCCATCTGCATCACCACCCTCCCTCACTTGTCTGCTCTGTCTCCTTTATGCGCGCGCGCGCGCGCGCGCGCACACACACACACACACACACACACAGAGAGAGAGAGAGAGAGAGAGAGAGAGAGAGAGAGAGAGATGTCTCCCAAGGTACACAACAAATGCTAGGAGTGAGAGCACTAACTTCACCTAATATAATGAGAGAGACACCATGGGCCATTTCTTTTCCATTGGACTCATGCAAGCAGAGGGGGGAACAAGGGGGGGAAACCCCTGTGAGGAACCTCAGGGTTTTAAGTAAGAGCGGATAAAGCCATTAGCGTTTGACAAGAAGCCATGCCAATATTTTAGAATGGCCTAAGCCAACCGATAGTAACATATATATATTGATAAACTGTTCCAGATGTTTTCTCCCTTGACTGAGGACTGTCAGGACTGAAGGATGTCAAGAGTGTAGAGGTGAAGTGGTTGTAAGGAGGGATGAGGAAAACAGCTTTATTTGGAAGTCACACTCTCAGTACCTTTGTAAGTAACAGCCTTCCAGAGTCCTGCTTCCGATAACGTTTCTTTCTTTCTGTGATCTCCTTCGGAGATGGTCAGGGATGAGGAAGGGGAAAGACGAAATGTTTTTGGCTTAGGGCAAAGAAACTGGCAAGGGAAGGTCGTCTTGAACTACTGGGGGGTTTAAGTTGTCTACATAAACATGTTACGTAAGGAGAGCTAGTTAATTACAGCGTGTGTAACTTTTCAGGTCCTCGGGGCATCAATGTGTGTCCGCGCGTTACATTCATACAATAATAAATACCGATTTAGCTGCCTTTTATTTTATCCTCAGTATTGTGATCTGTACAAAAATGGTCAAAAACAAGAATGTAACTCCCGCTATGGTATAAAGTGTAATGAGATGCTTCTTAGATAATTATTTATGCATGTCGTACATCTTGAACTCAATATTCCACGATTTAGCAATTCAAAAATATTTTATAGGAGGCAGGCTCCTATGTTTCTCCTTTACGTAAATTTGACTGGCAATTGCTTGAGTCGGGAGTAGTTGTTCCCAAGCATACAAAAACAACATTTAGCAAGCAACTTTAGAATATCCCAAGAAATTGTTTTGATGTTTGCTAAGGTCTGTCTCCGGGGTGATTTTTCTAAAATGCAGCGACTGGCAACTGTTTCCACAGTATAGCTAAACGTTGCTTTTAAAAAATAAAAACAAAAAGTTCAAATATTTTTTTGGGGGGAGGGGATAGTGGTGGGAAAGCTGTAAGTGTTCAGTGCGGCTTCAGATGGTTTATTTACTGTAGGACAGGATGTAAATTTTGCGATGATGAGAGAAAGAAATATTTACTCTTGAAACTGAAGTTCTGTATCCCGAGAAATTATGTTATTCTCCTTTAATATGTAGCTTCCTTTGAGGGGGGGCACTTTTAATTCACCACCTAGTCTTGCATCTGAAATGAGTTAAAACCCATCCTAGGCATGTTTCCTTGGAACTTCCACTGAATTCAGTTGGGATTACTCTCAAGTGAGTGTTGTGATTGCATCTTGAATAACACTGACCTCACTAATACTCAGGGCATTACCACAAGTAACTTAAGAGCGGCTTTCGGTTTCAGGACATCACTTGTGCAGCTATTAACACGGGACAGAAAGCGGAAAAGAATATTATTTTTTAAAGTACGTGTCGATTTTGCATTTTACTTTTGCCCAAATGGTTCAGTTTTAAAAAATGAAATGTCATTTAAAAGTAAAAAATGCTGCTTGTTCAATGGGGGGATACATTCTTAAAATTGCCGTGTTTCTTACTGGATTTTAAGTAAAATTGAAAGTTGCCCTTCTGCAGAAAGTGGGTATACTTAAAGTAACTTTTACGTTTAGGAGTTTAGGTCCAGAGTTCAAGGCCGAATTTTGATATTATCCCACTAAATGGAGGAGAACAGAATTACCTGAATTCAGTAATATCGGGTTCCAACATTCATTGGAAGGGCTCTCAATGACTTTTTTTTTAGGTGGGGGTAAAAATAATAAACCCTATACTTTTATTTTCATCACGGATACAGTACACTTGCAATCGGTTTATTTTCCTTTTGACAATGAGCAAATGTGAACATCATAACGTCCGATAGATTTATCTATTAATCTACAGGTTGCTTTTTAAATTGACTTGATCTTTTAATTGCTCCTTATAAATGAATGTGGGCGATTGCGTTTGACAGGGAGAGGCAAAGGGATTCAACACGATGTTTCACACGCATCCAGGGCTGCTTCAGATGGTCAGAGACTTATTAGTTGCATAAGCCTCCTGAAATGATTTGCAATATTTGGATTGGGTTATATGCGCCAGTTAATTGCAGGTATTAGGTATGACTTTTTTGTATTACTTTTAAAGGGAGGGGGACATAAATATCGTGTAATCGTGGGAAATGAAAGATGAGGCAGAGCTTTAGCCTTTGTTGTTGTTGTTTTAAAGGCCTGGTTCTCTGGGCCGCCAACAAGTGTCAGAAATCTAAATACCTAGCTGCCCAGCTCCGCTTCCCAGGACGACTTCTGTATGCAAAGCCTGTCTCTTCCACATTGTGCCCATTTCTGTTGGGGACGGGAGTCCCGGAGATTTGTCTGTGCTATAAATAATCAGCAGTCAAATTGATGGCGCGGTTGGGCTGGAGGTTAGGAAGCGAGGGTGGAGGTAGTGTGTATGTAGGATTGGATCCCTCGAAAGCATCTTGCCTGGCCCGGGGTTTGGGGTCCACCACCATCGCTGTATTGCTTTAAAAAACCCAACCTAGACTTTTGCTCCTGGCCCAAAACAGGCTTGGTAACAAACCTACGCGCTTCTCTACTTCCTACAATGGTGGGTCGTAGGCAAAGGAATTTATGAGGCGGTCTCAGAAAGCCCCGCGCGTCTCCTGTCTTTCGGATTCATTCATAATCTGGGCGATTGTGAGGGCAGGGAAAGGGGACGGAGAAGAGCTTGCTACGTCTCGGCAGACCTTCTCCGGGCAGTCTCTCTCCTCCCTACCTCCTTCCCTGCTGATTCCTGCGGCGGCTTGGCCTAGCCGTATTTCGCCCCCCCCCCGCTCCCCTGTCCCTCGAGAGCGGAAGTTTTGTGAAAGTCCCTGTGTGATGTGTGCTACCTTCCTCCCCTCCCGCCCCTTCTCCATCTTTGTTGTTGCTCTTGCAGGAAGGAAACTGGAAGGGAGTTGAGAATTGCACTTTGGTTAGTCCACAATGAGCTGCTCGGTGGCCAATCAGGCAGTCCGCCCCGAAGCAGACACCGATCTGAGCTCTCCATTAAATCGTCTGCTCATTACGAGGCTAAGTGAGAAAAAGAGACAGGGCTGGGTGTGGAAGGAGAACGTGTGTGTGTGTGTGTGTGTGTAAGTAAATGGTTGGAGGCTAGCAGGAGAACAGAAAGCAGAAGGGGCTTGAGCCACGATCCAAGCCATGCAAGAGTCAGGAGATCACTCGGGATACCTCCAAGCGCCTGGCTCTTCTAAGCAGATGATCGGGGACAACCACAGCGTCTTTGGAAGGGGTGGGGAGAAAGCAACAGCCACCCGCCGGCCAGCCTCGCCTCCCCGGCGCTCCCAGGAGCTGCTGCCGCCGCTTGCTCAAGGCCTTGTTCCTCCTTTGGCAACCACTGCTCATTAGCGCGTAAACGACTCGGAGGACCCCTCATTTCGTCTGGGGAAGACGGTTCCAGCGGCCCTTAATCAGTTAAACGCAGATAAAAACAAAATGCGGGGAGTAAATGCAAACACCGGACAAGCTCGGCGCACTGGTTAGAGCTAGAGAGGGAGGGGGGCAAAGGGGGAAGAGGAGGAGGAGAAAGGGAAGGAGCTTTTGGTGGGGGGGGGGATTATCCACAAACGCAGCGCAGGCGCACTGCTTCCCGAGTCCTCTTCCTCCCTCCCCGCCCCTTTACCCCTTCCTAAATCTTTTCAGACTTCAGCGGGGACCTGTCAGCGCTGACTTCGGTCAGGCAGCTTCGGCCAATCAGCGACCGCCCTGATTGTTTAGCTCTCTGGGTTGGAGCCTAGCCTGTGAAGCGCTATTCAGTAGCCTCCCAGCGTCCTGCTGCTGCTTCTCAAAGCGTATGGGATTCCACGTAGGCATTAAAAAAAAAAAGGAAGGAGGAAAAACACACACACACACACACACAAAATAATGGAAGAGGAGGGGGAGAAAAGAAAGGGGAAGGGGGGGAGCGGGAAGCAAAAACAAAACAAAGCCAAATAGTCCAGACCAAGAGAGAGGGAGGGGAAAAACCTTTTTTCTTTGCGGGTGGGGGGGGACTTTCAAAAAAGTTTTTCCACCGCTCTTTCCCTCTTCCTCTTTCTCCCTCGATCCCCCCTCCTCGGAGTCAGGTGACTTTTTAGAATTGTAGTAGAACCAGGAGAGCTTGGCGGCTTTGGGGGAGCCCAGTAATGGACTCTGCTTCACTCTCCAAACGGAGCACGGCGCTGAAATTACTAGGCTTGGCAGGGGCTCCTCGTCATCGTCATCACCGCCACCATCACCACTCCCCTCAGAGCATGACAGGCTTCGCCGGGCATCCCCACTCCATGGTTCCCACGCACCCTGGGGAGTACGCTGCAGAAAGCCGCCTCGGGCTGAGTCCATTCCGGTCAGAACACATGGGGCACCACCACCATCCTCTCCATCATCATCATCACCACCACCGCCACCACTCGCATCCTCCTCATCACTCAGCGGCCCTTAAGCTCAGCCCTGCCCCTCAGCCTCATCCCCACCATCCTGTGACAGGCCAAGCCGAGGTGGTACCCAGTCCAGCAGGAGCATTTGGCCCGGCGCAGTCAACAACAGTCCCTTACGCAGTCCCTCACCCAAGTCATGCTCTTTCATCAGGTAGGGAATTCTTCCTGCGCAGAGATCTGACAGCCCCAGTCATGCCAGGGCTCCCTTATCAACACTCTGCTGCTACAGGTTCTCACCATGGAATGTTTGTCTCAACAACAGGTAGCTACCCCGGACACCATGCTCACCACCACCACCACCTCCACCACCACCACTCAGAAGCCGGAACTCCCTCGCTTTTTACTGGACTCCACCATGAGCAACCTCCCCATGCAGCTCCAGGTGGCCATCTAAACGGACAGATAAGGCTGGGGCTACCTGGAGAAATGTATGCCAGGTCTGAACCTTTCACGCCAGTACCAGTCTCCAGGACAGATCCTTTTGCTGCTTCCTCCTTCCACGGCTACGGTGGCATGAACCTGAACGTGAATTTAGCTCCACACCACGGCCCTGGGGCTTTCTTTCGCTACATGAGGCAGCCCATCAAGCAGGAGCTCATCTGCAAGTGGATCGAACTGGACCAGACTCCCAAAAAATTATGCTCGAAAACTTTCAGCACCATGCACGAGCTGGTGACTCACGTCACCGTGGAGCACGTTGGAGGGCCGGAGCAGTCCAACCACATTTGCTTCTGGGAAGAGTGTCCCAGGGAAGGGAAGCCTTTCAAGGCCAAATACAAACTGGTCAACCACATCCGAGTCCACACGGGGGAGAAACCTTTCCCTTGTCCTTTCCCGGGATGCGGGAAAGTCTTCGCTCGCTCGGAAAATCTCAAAATCCACAAAAGGACGCACACAGGTCAGTATGGAAAGGTCTTTCTTCATTCGTGTTTTGTTCAGCTATCTGCTGCGTGTGCGATCTCCCCCACCCCGCCCCCGCCCGCTATAATTCTACATAGAATTAATACTAGCCAATGAAGACCGGATCAATAGTTTGTTTTGATTGTTGTCTTTCGTTTGAAGAATTGAGGCGTGTGTGGATGCATAATGCTGACGTGTATGTGTATGTGCGTATGCAAGGTCTTCCATGATTTAGATCGGGATTTCCTGGAGAGGGGAGAGTTAAAAAGCCCTATAGAGACGGAAAAGCATCCAATCTTGATGCAAGCTCGCAAATTAGGAGCGAACAATGGAAGTTGCAACTTGTCTAGGCAGTTTTGAGTGATGCTGCTGGGATGCTGCTTCTGCCGCCTTCCTTGTGAGAAAAGCACAGCTGCAAGGTCCCCTCTTTTTGTTTTGTACGAGGAACCCTGCGATGTTTCATCCCAAGTCTTCGTAAGAGCCTTTTCCTTCTTAAACTGCTACGGAGATTGAAATATGGGAAGGTGCTCTTTAGGAACCTGGGAAGGAAAGAGGGGAGTAGTGGTGTGTGTTTGGAGTTAATTTTGTCTTCCTAGCCTGTTCCTTTTGAACGGTCATTGGCCAGAATTATGAAGGAAATTTTTGTCAGAAATAGGAACAATTTCTCGTTAAGACAGAAAGGAAAGTTATTTGAAGGGGAAGACCTTGCCAACACCCTCCTTGACCTCGGAATCCAAAGAAGCATCTGTGGTGAATGAATGAAACTGGCGGTATAAAGTTTTCAGACTTCCAAATTCAGCCTGTGAAGTTGTAGAGAGTTAGTTTAGCAGCCGGTCTTCTTAGCTTTTTATTGCCTTCTCCACTCCACTCCTTCCTATCCGACTCTCTTTCTCTCTCTCACACACACACCAGAAGATAATAAATAAGCCCTTTTGGAAAATTAAATCCGTTCCACTGTGCAGTTTTTTTGCACACACACTCCACAGCCTTATAAACTCCCAGGAAAACGACATAATCCTATTGTAAGATATCCTTACAACCCAACGACTCTCTCTCTCTCTCTCTCTCTCTCTCTGCAGTTCTAAAATGTCGTAGCCTTAACTATAGTATGGTTAGGTTAGTCTCCTACCCCCCTCCAAAAACTACGTTTAAAATAAAGCTGTGCATTTGATGGATAATATTTTGTTACTTATTTTATTTAAAATATTAATAATGCGAATGACACCAAGGCATCTTCGTGTTAGGTAGGAAAGCACTGAAGAGCACAGTTCATCCCTTAATTACAGTGTTTTTCTTAAGTAAACAAACTTTTATTGCCCTTTAGCCGCCTTCTCCTTTGAAGTCTATGAAGCAGAAAATGGTCGGATTCTTGGTAAATTTGACCTACATCAGTGCAACCAGTTGAGTGCCTGGGAAGGGTGCGGGCTTGGAGTTCAGCATTCAAAATGTACTACATTATGTAGTCGTTTCGCTTGAACTTCCCTGCTTAATTAATTTATTTTTGCAGTGGTGGTGGGCTAGGCTTGGGATGGAGAGAGGGAGAAGTGGAGGTGGAATCCTTAGGCCTTATTACAATGCAGCGTTTTCGATTGACCCACCCCTCCCTAAATTCTCAAACCCAAATGTTTCTGAAATGGCAATAGAACTTCCTGCAAATTATTCATGAAGACAGTTCTAGATTTAAACGAGAAAATAATTGCCTTCTCAAATATTAATGACGTTGCGTTTCCCTGAGCCTGGGCAGACAGGAATGGGTTTCTGGAGATGAGAGAGAGGGAGGGAGGGAGGGAAAGAGAGAGAGAGATCGAACTTAATTCACAATAACGTAGCACAGGTATCAAAAGAAGGAAAGCAAAAATCACTTCCTTACCATCAGAACTGGCCAAAGGACAATTGTGACCAAGGTGGTGTTTAGGCCGCAGTAAGAGAGGTATGTTTTAACTTGTAATTTATAGTGCTGGCGCTGGCAAGCTCAATATCCCTCCTCCCCTCCCCCTCGAGAATTTTGCAAATACTTTAATCCAGTCCCAGAGTTGGGAGGATTATGCTAAAATCTCCAAGCTGTACGTATTGCTCTCCACAGCGAGTCCTGTGAGAGCTACAAGTGTGGGTAGAAAATGGCGGTGTCGACTCGCTGCAGTGTGTGCGCGCGCGCGCCCTTGCCCCCATCCGTCCTCAGTCCTCGCTTCCTCTCTTCCTCCCCCCCCCCCCATCTCTCCACCCCCAAACACACACTTTCAAAAGTGCGGCGGGTCAGAGACAAACATTCAAACACATTTCCTTTTGACCGATACATATTTACGCGCAGGGAATCCTATCCTTTTAACAGGGAGAACTCTAACATTAACCCTAGGCCTGAAACCATTCATAGATGATAATGCGCTACAGCCAACAAGGAAGAGCCCATTTCTGCAATCATTTCTTGTGGCCGGGGCCTTTATTTACCTCTGCCAAGGTGCCGAGGTGTGGAAGGAAGCTGGCCATTTTTATTTATTTTTCTGTTGCTGCTCGCGAGAAACAAGACCGGTCTTATACCACGATGTAACTCACTCCGCCCGATGGCTGGGTTTATGACGGGGCCTCTCCCCAGGGCCTCCTAACTTACTGCTTGCCTGTGCTACACCAATCCTCGTGATTTGTTATTTCAGCTGAGTAGCGGAAGGTCAAACTGTTTCTTTACAAGGAACTATAATTAAAATACTTAAAGAGCCGTCAAAATATACAGATGACCTTCCTTTTCTTTTCTCTCCCCGCCAAAACAAAGCAAAATGAGTAAATACCTTTCGATGCAGGTACACACGGAGCCTCACTTGTCATGCCTAGCCTGCTAGTAACGTCGTTTTCTCGCAGGCCTGAGACCAATATTGGTATTTGCCACCGATATTCTTTAAGATGTGGAACCATATTTTACTCCTTGCAATAACTAGCCGTCCAGCACGGCGGATTTCCCTGAATCATTACACCGACAGAGAATGCTTTTGTAGGGGGTGAGTAGCAGTTGCTTAGCTCCCCACCAACATTTCTTAAAGAACACTTTAGCCTTAGCATATTCAGTAGACACAGCTTTTTTAATTAAAAATATATATGTTTTGTGCTGAAGTCTGAATATACAACATGGCCTCATTAAGGAACTCATGTTTTTAAAATGCTACACAAACAAACACACACTAACACACATATGCACTTACCCTGCTATTTTGGCAACATTTGCCTCTAAGAAACACATAGTATCCTGACCTTCATTTCCCATCCCTGTCAAATATGCGTTATATCATTTTTTGCGCGACTTTCGTACGCAAGCGTCTCTGTCTGTTGGTTTTTCAGAATAAGGCATCCGTGCCCCGTAGAGACATCAAAGCACGTGGCTTCAACGTGTTTTCCTTTATCGGCGAAAAATCGCCCATGCAGCATTTGGTGTACAGACTATCTCCAGTAGATTTCATGGGGAATCTGGCTTCCTTCCGTCTCTCACCCCTCCTCACCTTTCCAATATCTCATCCCGCATATGGTGTTTAATATGTTTCCAATGCATATCATCTAGCCAGATCAATGAGTTCTCCCATGGACAATGCACTATGGACTGCGTCGTTGTTTTTCTCTTTCTCTCCGCTGCTAAATAGGTCCCTGTCTGTTAGTTTCTGCAGATTTTCCTTGATAGCAAAATGAAATCTTGGCCTACTCAGTAAGGCGTTGGCTTTCCGAGCAGAATGCTACTGAGATCCTTCTAGATCATTAATCTATACTAAGGATATGAAGTGGAAAGATACTCTATCGTAGATTATTCTCCAGAAACTACCAGAACTGCCTTTAGGTTAAGTTATGTATTAATTTAGTTATTTCCATATGAATTTGAGAGAGGTGAAAGAGATGATGATAGATAGATAGATAGATAGATAGATAGATAGATGATAGATAGATAGATAGATAGATAGATGATAGATAGATAGATAGATAGAGATAGATAGATAGATAGATATAGATAGATAGATAGAGTTAGTTAGATATAGATAGATAGATAGATAGATAGATGATAGATAGATAGATAGATAGATAGATAGATAGATAGAGTTAGATATAGATAGATAGATAGATCGATAGATTTCTAAACCTGTGCAACACTGGTTCAACCGTGGTATATCTAAACGATGGTTTTAATGAGCTGGCTGCTGACATTTGCTCATCGTTTCCTCCGAAGCCTACTTTGCAATCCCACTTTCCTCCAAAGCCTATTGGCAAGGTCAAATGTGAGCTCTTGTGCGACTCTGTGTGTGCGCGCAAGAAGAAGGCGCCTTGCAGCATGTGGAGTTGTTTATGTGGGAGTGCCCGAGACTAGTAAGAAGCTATGCGCCACAAGGCCACGAATCCGTAGGTTCTGGGGTTTCAGATCCTAACCTAGGTTATGTAGCCATCTCTGAAGTAAAGGGGTTGTCAGGTGAGAGAGCTTGGAGGGGCATTTGTGAGATGGGAAATATGTGTCCATACGGACACGGTACGGAAAAGAGGAGCGAGCGAGATGGGCAAGGAGCCTAGGGAAGAGAAAGCGTTGTCCCACCTCGTCGCCCCAGGCCCTTCATCCAAGGCCTGGAACATTTCCACCCTTCCTCTGGAAGGCAGGCATTGATAGGGATGGACACACAAACTCACACACGAAGCTTCCCCCCTTTGTCATTTCAGGAGACCCCACAGCTTTAGAGATCTCTCCTCACACCCTTGTAATCCTGTTCACATACAGTGCTGCTAGGCGCTTCTGCTGGGTTTGGCTCCACGGCCACTGCTGGGAAAGCGAGGTGGGGCGAGGGCGACACGGAGCTCATCGCTCAATAACCTGTGACCTGCAGACACGCCACCCCGCCACCCCAATAAAACACGCACACCCGCACCTTTCCCCACCCTGGTCCTTTACGCAAAGTCTCCCTGGATTCCCTCTTTTCCTTGCAGGCGAGAAGCCCTTCAAATGCGAGTTCGAGGGCTGCGAGCGCCGCTTCGCCAACAGCAGCGACAGGAAGAAGCATTCCCACGTGCACACGAGCGACAAGCCCTACAACTGCAAAGTGCGAGGCTGTGACAAGTCCTACACGCACCCCAGCTCCTTGCGGAAGCACATGAAAGTCCACTGCAAGTCCCCACCTCCCAGCTCGGGCTACGAGTCGTCCACCCCGTCGCTGGTGTCGCCGTCGTCGGACTGCGGCCGGGAGCCCCCTCAGCCGCCGCCGCCACCGCCGCCGCCACCACCTCCCGCAGCGGCTTCCTCCACCCAGGCGGCAGCCAACCTGAGCGAATGGTACGTGTGTCAGAGCTCAGGGGCCAGCGGCATCCCGACTCCACCCAGTAACTCTCCGTCACCTCACCCGGGAGAGGCCGCTTACACGAACTGCGAGCCCCGGCCCACTTATTAAAGTCAATACGGTAGGATGGCCCGCCGGCGGCGGCGAGACTGCATTGTTCTTTTCGGGGTGCTGTGGATCCTTGGCTCACACTGGACGAACGGCGGGTCGGCAAGGCCCGGTTCTTGGGGGAGGGGCGGAAATCGATCCCAGGCCTGGGGAGCAAGCCCCCTCCCCCTCCCCCCTCCCCAGCCTCTTCCCCCAGTCAGTCACCTTCGATCAGAAATGCTGCACAGGCTATCGGAGAGAAGATACATTGGGGGAGGGTGGACAAACCTCCTCCCTCTCTCTCCCCCACCCCCGTTTTGTATTTATTATGGCACAGAGGACAGCAGACCCCCCCTCCCGCCACCTCCCCCTCCCCGCACCTCTTTCCATGAGCTCTTCTTTTTATTTTACACCCTCCCAGGGCAGACTCCGCGGACCAACTCCTTCCCATACGTTTACAATGGCCTCGATTTGAATGGAAACATCCTTTTGTATCAATGAACCAAAGTGTTTTAATACGGATTTCTAGCTGTACAGCTGCGATCGTCGGTGCTGGTATCTTGTGATGGTGTTTTTTCTTGGACAGTTTTATTAGCCCAGTGTCTGGATTTTAATTGGGTTTCTTGGCGGGGGTGGGGGGCTGTGTGCGTGTGCTTTTTTTCTCCCAAAAAGGAACATCAGTATCTATAAATATATTATTTGTTACCGAACTGTACAACAAATCGATCAATTAAATACTTTGATTAATTTACCAGTTCAGTTGACGTTTTTTTCGGGGGGGGGGAAATCTCTTTACTGCCCCTTTTTCACCAGTATATTCTTCCCACTTGTCACTAATAAAACAGACCCAAGGGTGGCTTAATGATTTATGGTACATTTTAATTTACACTAGTAATGGATTTAAATGCATAAACATATTCTCCTTTTCTCTTCCCCCTCCCTCGCATTATTTCTGTTGAATTGTGAGTTCTTGTGATTCCTTAGTGGATGGAAGGTGAGATCCATGTTAATTGGAGAGAAGGGGGGGGGTTGTTATGAGTGACGTAATTGTGTTGAGTTGCTTGGATTGTCCAAAAGGATTCACGACGTGTCGATTTTTTCTGAACCCGTGGTGTAAACCCAGTGGTGGTCTGGTTTTCAAACGCACAACAGTAGTTATGTAAAATAACAATTCGAAATATTAATTATTATTTTTTGTAAAGGTAAAAATAAAATGGTTTTAAAATCTTGAACATATGTCGGGGTCTCTAAAGCTATATGATTGTTATCAGCACTATGTGAGTCCTTGTCTCTAGCGAATTCCCCAGATGCTTGTGGAAATATTATTATATGGATTTCATTTACTGATTGTAGCTCCTAAACGCATCACTTTGTAGTAAGACCCATATACTTCAATGAAACTTATTTACAGGCAGTATATTTAGGAATGAGGGAGGGGGCGTGGTTCATTCTAATCGATTTTTAAACTATGGAAAGGCCCATTTGTCTGTAGGCGTTCTAAGATCTTAGCCAAAACACTTCTACAAAGCCATTTCCTTCAGTTCAGTGAAGGAGAGTGAAGCAAAACGTCCAGCCCAGTCTCTGGGTTAGCCATGTACACACCACCAGCAACAGAAATTTCTTATTTCTTGTGGAATGTATTATCCCTAGAGCAGTCAAGTACAACATTTTCCTGTTGCCTAGAATGGACACACAGGGGGATGTGGCTCCAAAGGGAATGTGCTCTGAGCGTGAGTGAGGAGGGATAATAATCAAAACAATATATCCTCCCCTACCTTCCTTAACATTCCCACGTTTCTGAACTCTTTCTTTCTCTCTATCTTCCTTGTGCAGCAGGACCATATGCTTATTTACTCGGAAGTAAGTTCCACTGAGTTCATTGGGACATCCCAGTGAAGTGTGAACACCGTGGTACTTACATCTGAAGATGGGGCGGTTGGTGTAATTCAGGCATTCACATTAAATAAAATAAAAAATAGAAGAAAGTCTACCTATCTGGGTATCAATCCATCTATCACCTATCTACCTTTTGAACAATGTGCATGACTTGGTTCCCCATTCCTTCTCACTGCCTCAGCGAGAGATCCTTAATAGATCGCCGAGTTACATGGACGAAACATAGCAAACAAAGAAATAACCATCCCGTCCCGATTCTCAGGATAAAAATTAAAACAAGATATTCGTTGCCATTACTGCTGCTGTTCATTTACTCCCTCTGATCTAGTGGAGCCGTCGTGGAAATGAGAAGGTAGAGATGGATGGATGGAGGCCATCTGCGAAAAGATGCTTCCACCTTGTCTGGAGTTGGGTTGCCCCCTCCCGGCTCCGTCCCTCGGCCCTCCTCCTCCCTCTCCCTTTTCTTCTTGATTTCTTTCTTTGCAGAAGCGGTTTTTGGATGTGTAGGCTAATCACCTTTAATTTTTCATTTGCTTGTTACAGATGTCTATCCCGTTGCTCTCAAGGTAATCTAGACAGAGGCAGCTGAAAAGCCCCGCATCTTATGCCTTAGACATCAAAGCAGTCTCTCACAATGAAAGTATTTCTTCGCAACGGTGAATCTTCATGGTGAGTTAAGATTTCTATAGCAATAGGCTAGTCATACTTAAAAAGAGTGAAAAGCGAAGTCTGGAGCCCGTCCAGTCTTTTCATGAAGGACATAATATTTAGGTCTAACAGATTCTCTCTCTTTCTCCCCATCCCCTCGCGGCTCAGTTTCTTTCTCCCATCCTCACCGATGTATATATATAAAAAAACAGAAAACACCCCAACAGTGCCAAAACCACATCACACACACACACACACACACACACACACACATTTGTATGTTGTGTTCGTGATGGACATGGAGTATGCATATTTTCCCTCCGAATTTCCGGGGCAAGAAAACCCCCACGCGAATGGGGGTCCTTGTTCCAGCCCATAATCAGAATGGATAAGAATGTCAGGAAGAAAAAGGGGGCCGCCTGAATCGCCGTCCGCCAGTTCACTTTTGTTTCTCTCCTTCTGGGCCATGATCAGAGACGGCCTTTGGGATTTGATGGCGACTTTTCTAAAGGCGAGGAAATGGGTTTGAAGGAGGGAAAAGAAAAGGAGAAAGGTCTAATCAAGCCCGGCCTTGTTCAAAGGCTCTGATTTTTATTTTATTTATTTATTTATTTTTGGTTGGAGGGTGGGGGTTGAAAGTGTGAGCTTTATGGTGCATCAACATGCCACGTTAGGATCGCTATGGTAATGAGCCTAGCAATAGCAAGCGCCCTTGAAAAGGAGGCACACTCCATTCGAGACAGTCTATTAAGATACATTTGCACTGACCTTTGGTTTCATGCTAGCTTAATACATTCAATCTGCTCTTCCTCAGAGATGGACTTCCTCCATCTCGTCCCCTTTGGCTTGCTTTGCTGGCTTGCTCTCTAAAGGAGGGCTTTTGTTGCAGCATCTTGGATCTCTGCGATTAAGAAACCGAAGCAGGGGAGGGCGGGAGGGGGCGAGGCGGTTTTATAAGAGCTACCAGTGTCGAGTGAAATTTTGCACCCATGGAAATCTGGGGCTGGGCTGGGACTCAGTAGTAGAGGACCCACTTTTGTTCAAAGCAGCCCACCTGGCTAGAATAGGACTGCTCAGGAGCAAGTCAGTAATGGACCAGTTTTGTTTACTAGTGGGCTCACAAAACTCTTGCCTCCACGCCCCTAGCCTTAACCCTCCTAAGACATCCTACAAGCACGATCCAAACAGTAGCTGGTGTCACTATTCTTATTCATAAATGTATATATTTGCTGATCTTTGCTTTGCAAGTAACATTTCGATATTTCTGTGTCTGACTCCATCCTCCTTAGGATCTAGCTCCTTGCTGAATGCTGCGGCTTTAAGTTGCTTTTTGACACTATTTCCTTCTTTGTAAACACACACAGTCACATCCACACACACACACACACACACACACACACTGCTGAAGATAGAGACTGAACTAGAAAGGGATGCCATTTCCAGAACAAAGACTGATGAATCTTCTGAATTTCTTGACTCTTTCACGGAAACAAACAAGGACTAGATCCTAGGTGTGTGGCAAAAACCATGTCCCAAGAAATTAGGGTTTAATGCCTTCCAGGGCTACAGAACTTGACACTCCCAAGTCTGAGGCCACGGGCGATGGGCCATGGTCCCGGGAAAGTTAGAAGTCCATGTTCCAGTAATTGTCTTCTTGTTTATTTTATCCAAGTACCCCAGTGAATAGGGGAAAAATAAACACGCCGAACAAAAAAAAAAATTCAAACAGTCGAGTCGTCTTTAGTGCTAGCCCTTGTGGCTGAATAAAAAAGGATGGTCCAATTTCTATTGAGCTGAAAAATCTTTGAAGTGGGAGTTATTATCTGAGAAATTCCTCCTCGTCGCCCTAACAACGCTGATGAAACGTAAAAAGGTTCTTTGTCAGCGATTTGTTCTCCCCTCTGTCAAACTCCCTCTGCCCCGTTAGCTGGGACCGTTTCTAAAGAGATGGAACCAAACTTCTTAAAAGATAACGTTGGGATGGAGACAGAAAATGTCCCAGTATACAATCAGATACATACATCTACCTACGTCTGTCTGCCTATGTCTGTCTCTCTGTAGGTGGAGGGGGGCGTGTAGCTCTAGGGTGGGGAGGGTGGGAGGGGAAAACGAGAGGGGGGGTGGAGAACGAGAGCGAGAGAGGATCCCTTCTGCTTTCCGAACTTCTCAGCCCCAGAGGAACTGCCCGACTGGATCTTCTATTCCGAACTCATTGGCTTGAATTCTGCCCAAGCCTTTGTTCTTTGCACAAAACCCAACTTCCTACGAACGCCATCCATGAACACCAAGTCTGTAGCTGCTGAACCTCGCTACCCTCCCATTATCCCAGTATAAAGAATGCAACAGCTCGTACATGCCTTTATTGCAGGCTCGGCTCGTGTTAATGCTGAGACTACCTATTAAAAAGCACGTATCTCTACTGCAGTGCACTAAAATGGTTACGCCTTCAAAGCGATGGCTTCCATATGTCTCAATGTTTTATTGTCAGCGAGTGGAAAGAAAAGTAACAGCATCCCACTCACTCCGCAACTTGGTACTCTCAATTGGGAGGAAAAAAACAACAACACCAAACTCAAGAGTCCATAGATGTCTTTGGGAATGAGATAGTGGCTTGGAGAATGCACTGCTCACCAGTTTAGCATTTCTGCCACACTGGTAGTTTTGGGTCCCCATGAAATGGTAGCATCGTTGTTGGGCCCTCTTTTGTCGCAGCCAAGTGCTGAGTGTAAACTATTGGCAGTGATCCCAGTAAGTTTTTGTTGGCTCAGAGGCTGAGGAAAGAAGAGTGGTTTAACTGGTGCCTGTTTATTGGAAGATACTGGGCCTTGCATTATGGAGGCCGTCTTAGGAATTCGCAAGCACCTTGTCCATACCTCAGTTAGCAGAAGGATTTGTCGTTTAAACCAATTGTACATCATCAGTTACAATCCATATGTGAAATAAGTCCTAGTGAAATAAATAATAATGACTTCTATGTATCGTGTTTAGTTTTGAAATGTTTCCAGCGGGACTCTGTGGTCCTAAACAATTTCTGAAGTAATAAGCTTCTTTGAAATAAGTGAGATTCATCTTAAATTTAGGCATTTATTCAGGATTGAGGTTTAAATAGCACTTGCCTTAATCAGAATGAAAAATATAGACAAAAGAAGAAACACAACGCAACTCCCACCCACCCACACCATAGTATTAGGGCAATACTTTTATTAGGCCAACAAAAATGTCACAAAATAGTGAGGAAGTTTTTGAGATCTCCAAAAGTTGAGACTTCAGCAAAACGGAGTGGGGGGGGGAGGAGAGAGAAATCGTGGCGTTGGTATCATTCTTAAAAGGGGGTGTGAGAAAAGATAGCGGAGTAAGGATGACTCCTAATGAAGCTTTCATAGGAGTAAGCCCCATTGAAAACAGTGGGACTTGCGGGTAAACGAGGATTGAGCTGTAAGGCTGCAATCAGATACACATTGACCCGGGAGTAAATGTAAATCCCATTGAACTCAGTGTCACTTACTTCTGCATAGATGGTATAGGTTTTAAAACGGGGGGGGGGGGAGAGAGGTTCTCCTAGGTACTTTCCAAATTTCAGGTTACATCTTCTAGGATGATTGGGTAAGGAAACACACAATGAATGATTCCTCACTATTGAATACAGGAACTTCTGAGGATAAGAATATCTCATTTTTTAAAAAACTGATTTCAAAAAAGCAAGATTATAATCCAAATTCAGTTTCCAATCTATCAATAGATGCAGTTTTCCCCCAGGGGTTTAATGTTTCTTTATTTGAAAAGGATATTTGTACAAATTCTGCGTAGTGTTATTGTATCTTTAAATATTTACGAAGCTTCGGTGCTTCTTTTTATAAAGATGAATTAAAATGTTTTATTTTTCGCCCTACCGTGCTATTTCTGAAAGGTTTTTTTTTAACAGTCCCCTCCTATCACTTGTACACTAAACAGCAAAAGGAAAAATCAATTCTACGCAGCAACCATGTATAATTTGGGTCGGTTTCTAATGCGATGTAATGGCAATTATTGTTGTTGGAATATTATGGACATGTTATGGATTTTTAAATAAATAAAAAAAACGAATATTGGATGAAAACATCATTGCTATCTGAAAACTCAATCTTGTGGAGAAATAATTTGTACTTTTAAAATAAAGCTCTCCATGAGAAATATAAAACTTGCTTCTTTGTGATTAAATTCGTCTTTACTTTTCTCTTTTTCTCTCTCCCCCCCCTCCTTTCCAGCTGATTCTTTGAAAATCAAGTATCCGTTGTGGCTTCAACAATGCCCCTAGAAAATGATAAACGATTCTCTCAAGTTAGGGTTGGAAAGCTATGGTGCCCAAGAAATGGTTTGGCGCAGGAAAATAATATCTGCTTTCTACTACACTAGTGTTTTGTTTTTATAAATATTTCCAGAACTGCGGGGGTGGGATTGTCTTGTTTTTAAGAAGTTAGTTCACTGGCAGATAGTAATCAATCCCTTTTTCAATGTGAATAGTCCATAATGAGTCCCCTCAAATTTCTCCGCCTTCCCACAACTGTATATATCTATCTATCGAACGCTGCTAGCTGTCTATGCCTACTACTGCGTTTTGCTGCACATGCGCATTGTGCAAGTCGTTGATTTGCCTTTCTCCTGCTTGGAAATATTATCAGTGCAAGACCGGAATCCTATGCGCGCTCACTCGACAGTAAGTCCCATCGAAATCAGTTGGAGCAAGCAAGCTATATATAGGATCGGTCTGTCATTGCACTAAAGAAGGACAGGTCACTAAAATCAGCGAGACTCACACCCAAGTAAACGTGTGTGATGGCTAGCGTCTGTAGCACTTCCTTTTTGCTGGGAAGGAAGGTGTGCTTATACAAACGGTGCTTAGATCTGAGTAAAGCTGGGAGAGGGCGATCGGTTGACTGCCCATTCCTTGGTGTGTTCGGAAGCAAGTCCCCCTGTGCTACTCTCTAGCAAGTGTGTTGAGGCTTCCATTCCACCTTAGTTGTGCTCCTCACACTCCTTGCTTGCATTCTTCACAGAATGCATCTGTGTTACTATGCATCTACAGAGAAGCCGAACTATATGACCAAGGTGGGGTAGAGGAAGACCAGGTTAGTGGAACGTGGGAGAGGAGATCAAGGAAGTGAGGGGAATGTGGGTTGTTCTACAGTCGGCAAGGTTGGCGAGTAGGAAGCACGACGACAAAAAAACAAAACAACGCCCCCCTAACCCCAACCCAACGCTGGAGAGTCGGTGACTATTAAAGCCAAGAGTTATATGGCCCCTAATCGCAGACAGAAGCCCTGTAATCATCATTACACTCGGCTGTAGTCAGCAAGACATGGAAGGTTCCCTCGGACAACATGGGGAGAGACGTGTGGGCAGGCTTCCCTGCTCTTTCTATAGACGCTGCTGCCTTTTTCTTCCTTTAATGCTGACAATCCATTTCGGATGGCTTCCTCCCCTGTTGCTTTCTAGCATCGATCCCCATGCAAGCCCCTGCATTGTGCGGACGCATTAATTAAAGACCATTCATTTCACAAAAGGCCATTTGTATCTTTAGGAAATGAAGATTAGAAATATGAATCAGGACGGCCGAGCCCCGTTTCCGCCCAGGCACACTATACAAGGGAGAGGGGCTGGGTGGGGGGGAGGCAGGCAGAAGAAGAAAGGACCTTCGGGGTCTTTGCAACCTCCTTTAATTGAATGCCCATAAAAACGAACGGCCCGCGCTTCTCTCTAGAAGTATATGACCCGGGGGTGGTGATGATCCGCCCTCGCCGCCCGGCTTCTTGCGTAGAGACGGTTAGATTCGAAGGTAGTGTCAGGGAATGTCAGGCGGAAGCTGGCCCTCGGGTCTTGGTCCAGTTCCTGGAAAGACATTTCCGCTTTCCGAGTAAAGGACCAGGAATGTTTCAGAAATGAAAGTTTTGCCAGGAGGAACACAATGGACACTTTCGGGTTAGAGGTTGCGAGCCACGCAGCCACGATTTAAGTAGACTTTGTGCGAAGTTCCCTGCGCTCTTGGAAGAAACGATGTATGTGTAGTGTGTTACGTGGAGATCCAGAGAAATTAATGCCATGTTCCTTTGCAGGCATACAACACAGCTTCCATGAATTGCTCTCCTGAAATCTTTGTTCGAAACAACTCTTGAAATCTACCAGGGGTTGATGGGTCGTGTCACTACGGAGTGAAGGAGTACCCTCTCGTCTTCTTACCCGCTTCCCATACAATTCAATGGGGCTTGCACAAGAGGCTCCTCCGGTGGATTGTGTTTTACACATTTTCAGGCCCGGTATATTCACATCCAGTAGCTAGCAACACCAAATGGAAACGAGGGGCAATGTCGTCTATGCTGACTAGGCACTCTGAGAGCCAGAGTGTTCCATTATGTCGATGAGAATAGAGAGATTTGAAACCTTAACGCTTAGCACACACACATAAGAATTTGGGAGGCAAGCCTAGGCTTGATTTCATGTAATGTGCTCAAAGGATGGGTCCAATGAGATGACTGGGTATTACAGGTCAGATAGATACACGCTACAACTGGCGCACACAGTCGCGTGAACTTAGCATCGTGGCGTTCCCACGTACATCAGTCCTGTTGTTGGCGTCATAACCAAAGGAAGAAGTAACAGAAACCAGAGTAAAATTAGGGAATTAAAGGTAATCGAGTGTCCTCTCCTGCTTTCACTCCCCACTTTTCTCATGCGCACCAGAAATAA